GAAAAACTAAGAACAAAAGTAGGCACGGTACTGGTCAATGAATTCAAAGATCATGAAAAAATCACATGGTTTGGTCATCTGGACAGAAAAGAACAAATTCAGCCAGCAGATAGAGCGTATTACATGTGAACAGCAAGCTACAAGGCAAATGGCCGACAAAGAAATAAATGTGTGGCGGGAGTAAAAGAAACACTACAGAAACACATTATGACATTAACATAAGCTCCGCAACTAGTTAGTAAATTAGTGAAAACTTATTTGGAAGCTGCGGAGATGTGGTTTTATAGACGAATGATGAGAATACTCTAGACAGATAACAAGAGTAATGAAGACGTCTTGAAAGAAACTGACTCGCGAAGAGAAATGATTGTCCACATCAGAAAGAGACAATTTACATTCTTTATTTATATGATGAGGAGAAAACTGGAGCACATCGGGATTGTAGAAAAGCTGGAGGGGAGGGGAGGCAGAGGGAGACCGAGAGAACAGATGCTGGAAAGTTTGACATCATGGCATGGAGGATCATCTGTGTCAGAGTTGATTGAAAGTACACGAGACAGAGGGCTGTGGAAAACATGACTACTAACGCCACACGGCATGAACTTAAGAAGAAGAAAGCAACTAGTAGAAGTCGGGTAACTATATCTATCTCCTTTCTGGGACACCTTACCGAAGAAGAAGTAGGACAAAAGTTTTTAAAAAAATGAGGACTGTTGATTGACTGGTAATTGATTGCTCAATTTGTTGGTTCAACCGCTGATATTAGATTGATTGTTTGCATGAGTTAGTTGACTGACTAATTGAAATTTGATGTTTTCATTCGAAATTTAGAGTTTAACAAGTCTTATATGTTCTGATGCCGAATAAATAATTGTTTGAATTTTTGACTGATTGATTGCTGATGTCTTCAATTAAAATCTCAGAGTTTACATGAGTTTTACGTTCCCCTGCTGAATTTAATTAAAAACAAACCGAGCAGCGTTTGCAAACAGAAAACCCAGCCTGGAAATAATCCCCGACATTCCAACATGGCGGGCTCAAGACTCCCCCAAGGGTGGAGGAACTTCCTGGACAGAAACTAAAGGTAGGACTGAGAATAAATTTCCCCTTCTCATCGTCTCTATGTCAACTGTGTGACAGGGGCCCCAGACGCAGATAATCAGCCTGTCTGTTGATTGACTGTCTCCGCCTCTCCGATGGTCCGCTTTTGTGACAGTTAATTTTCTGGGGTAAGAACTCATCGCACGGCTTTCTGCGGCTCAGAGCCCCAATTTAATGCTAGTGTATAATCAGACGGGCGTAGACAGAGGCACTTGTCTAAGTTTGGCACGTGTCTATGTCTAGCACTTGTCTGTGCCGTGGAAAGCAATAATTCTAGGATGGCTGACGACAATGTTGACTGATCCTATAAAGTTTTGGTTTTTCAGGACTTCCGGAAAAAAGTGGTTACTTCCGTTAGGGGCAATGGGGTGACTGGTGTCTTTCCACAGTCGTTTGTGACGTGGTGTCCCGAATAAACGCTTGAAAAGAACTATAAGAGCTAGCGGGGAGGAAGGAGGGGGGGGTAGCAAAAAGAGTAGGAGAGGTGGAGAGATGAGGAGGAGAAGCAGAAAGGAGGAGAAGTGAAAAGGGGAGCAGGAAGGGTGAAAGGGGAGCAGGAAGAGTGAAAGAGGAGCAGAAGTAGAAAAAGGAGGAGGAGATGTAAAAATAGCGACGAAGTAGAAAAAGATGAAGCAGAAATAGAAGGAGATTTAGAAAGAGAAGAAGATTTAGAAAGAAAAAGATTTAGAAAGTGAATGAGGAGTAGAAAGAGAAAAAAGAAGTAGAAAGAGAAGGAGACGTAGATAGCGAAAGAGAAGTAGAAAGAAAAGGCGGAATTGAAGGAGACGGAGATTTAAAAAGCCAAGGAGAAGTAGAAAGCGAAGGAGTAGTAGAGAGAGAAGTGGATTTAGAAAGCGAATAAGAAGTAAAAGAGGAGGAGAAGTAGAAAGAGAAGGAGATTTATAAAGTGAATGAGAAGTAGAAAGAGAAGGAGAAGTTGAAAGAAAAGAAGATTAAGAAAGTGAATGAGAAGTAGAAACAGAAGAAGAAGTAGAAAGAGAAGGAGAAAACGTAGAAAAGGAGAATTAGAAAGAGAAGGAGATGTAGAAAGAGGAGGAGGAGTGAAAAAGAGGAGTCTAAACGGGAGGAGTTGTAGAAAGCGAAGGAAAAGTAGAAAGAGGAGGTGGAGACAAATGAAGAGAAGGAGTAGTATACAGAAGATGGCTGAATTGTAGAAGAGAAGGAGAAGTAGAAAGAGGAGGAGGAGATATAGAAAGAGGAGGAGGAGATGTAGAAAGAGGAGGAGGTAATATGGGAAGTAGAGCATGGGTAGAAAAAAAATTGAATAAGAGAAGTAGGACAACGAAGATGAGTAGAAGAAGTAGCCGAACGAGAAGATAAAACAAGATATGATAGTCGGTCTAGGACCAACCCTCTTTAATTACCTCTTACGACATATATGCACTATTCTATGCTTTTTATGACTGCTGGCAATTTATGGACAATTGCTGCTGTTAAAGGGTAGAATAGACCAGGTCATCTTCTCTTCCTTTGGCTTTCGCTTTTAAAAAGGCGACTTGCACATTGTATTGTAGTTTGCAGCTAGGCTGTGATATCTACACGTTTCGGCCAAGCACGTCAAGTTTCAGGTAACCCTTAATTAGTTGCATTTTAAGACATGCTTGCTAGGTACAGTGTGTGCTCCTCAACCCCTCCACTCCAAACAATGGGCCTTCTCACCCACAAGGGGAAGACACATACAAGACACGGAGAATGGTAAGAGAGGAAGCTCTGACTAGTTAGACAGACCGACACATCAAACAGACTGACACATAAAACAGACTGACACATCAAACAGACAGACACATAAAGCAGACTGACACATAAAACAGACTGACACATAAAGCAGACTGACACATAAAACAAACTGACACATAAAATAGACTGACACATAAAACAGACTGACACATAAAACAGACTGACACATAAAGCAGACTGACACATCAAACAGACTGACACATAAAACAGACTGACACATAAAACAGACTGAAACATAAAGCAGACTGACACATAAAGCAGACTGACACATAAAACAGACTGACACATCAAACAGACAGACACATAAAGCAGACTGACACATAAAACAGACTGACACATAAAGCAGACTGACACATAAAACAAACTGACACATAAAATAGACTGACACATAAAACAGACTGACACATAAAACAGACTGACACATAAAGCAGACTGACACATCAAACAGACTGACACATAAAACAGACTGACACATAAAACAGACTGAAACATAAAGCAGACTGACACATAAAGCAGACTGACACATAAAACAGACTGACACATAAAACAACACACTGACACATAAAACAGACTGACACATAAAACAGACTGAAAAATAAAACAGACTGACACATAAAACAGACTGACACATAAAACAGACTGACACATAAAACAACAGACTGACACATAAAACAACAGACTGACACATAAAACAGACTGACACATAAAACAGACTGACACAATAAGCAGACTGACACATAAAGCAGACTGACACATAAAACAGACTGACACATAAAATAGACTGACACATAAAACAACAGACTGACACATAAAACAACAGACTGACACATAAAACAACAAACTGACACATAAACTAGACTGACACATGAAACAGCAGACTGACACATAAAACAACAGACTGACACATAAAACAACAGACTGACACATAAAACAACAGACTGACACATAAAACAACAGACTGACACATAAAACAACAGACTGACACATAAAACAACAGACTGACACATAAAACAACAGACGGACACATAAAACAACAGACTGACACATAAAACAACAGACTGACACATAAAACAACAGACTGAGAAATAAAACAGACTGACACAAAAAGCAGACTGACACAAAAAGCAGACTGACACATAAAGCAGACTGACACATAAAGCAGACTGACACATAAAACAACAGAAACAGACTGACACATAAAACAACAGACTGACACATAGAACAACAGACTGACACATAAAACAACAGACTGACACATAAAACAACAGACTGACACATAAAACAATAGATTGACACATAAAACAACAGACTGACACTTAAAGCAGACTGACACATAAAACAGACTGACACATAAAACAGACTGAGCATACTTTTCTAATCTGGCAGCTTTTGCTAAATGTTTTGTTCCGAACATATTGGTGTTACCTTTAATTTAGACTAAACAAGGCAGGCTGGGGGTAGAAATAAGCCGCATGGGCAATAGTCTACAGTACTGCATATGCTTTGGGCTATGGAGAAATTGAGACATTGGCCATCGCCACGAAGCTTGATTACATTTCTATATCTCAACATGGCACTGTTGATTGAAAGTCACAAAGATGCCAACACTAACAAGAGAAGACAATAGAAAAAGAAGAAGATCTAATGTCAGGTACTAACCAGATACATAGACGAACATGCAAGATAGAAAGAATGGAAAAATATGAAGATTTAGTTTCAAGTTCTCACCGGATACATAGACGGATATAAAAGATACAGAAACAAAAGAAAAGAAAGATTTAGTTTCAAGTACTCACTGAATACTCAGATGGACATACAAGATACAGAGAATGAAAGAATATGAAGATTTAGTTTCAAGTACTCACTGAATACTCAGATGTACATAAAAGATACAGAGAATGAAAGAATATAAAGATTTAGTTTCAAGTACTCACTGGATACAAAGACGAACATAAAAGATACAGTAAATGAAAGAATTTGAAGATTTAGTTTCAAGTACTCACTGAATACTCAGACGTACATAAAAGATACATAGAATTAAAGAATTTAAAGATTTAGTTTCAAGTACTCACTGAATACTCAGACGTACATAAAAGACATAGAGAATAAAAGAATATGAAGATTTAGTTTCAAGTACTCACTGGATACATAGACGGACTCCTTGATGACTAACCAGCCGTATCCATAGACTGTTTCACCGGCATAGTAGGTAGCGCTGGGGTTGTTGAACACGATCTGGAACTTGTCAATCTTCTCCATGGACTCTCATCGGCTCCTGGGGGAGACACGTCAAGTATGAAAGTAATCTTAGTGTTTGTTTTCTGACGCTATAGTCAATAATGCGTATTATCATCTCGGTTGTTATCATCATCGTCATCAATATCAATACTTTCTTCTTCTTCCTCTTCTTCTTCTTTTTGTTTTTGTTCTTCTTTTTCTTGTTCTTCTTCTTGTTCTTCTTGTTGTTGTTCTTCTTCTTCTTCTTCTTCTTCTTCTTCTTCTTCTTCTTCTTCTTCTTCTTCTTCTTCTTCTTCTTCTTCTTCTTCTTCTTCTTCTTCTTCGTCTCCTTCTTCTTCGTCTCCTTCTTCTTCTTCTTCCTCTTTTTCTTTTTTCTTTGTTTTCTCCTTCTCCTTCTTCTTGTTCTTGTTCTTGTCCTTGTTCTTTTTCTTCTTCTTCTTCTTCTTCTTCTTCTTCTTCTTCTTCTTCTTCTTCTTCTTCTTCTTCTTTTTCTTCTTCTTCTTCTTCTTCTTCTTTTTCTTCTTCTATTTCTTCTTCTCCCTCTTCTTCTTTTTTCTTCGTCTTCTTCTCCTTCTTCTTGTACTTGTTCTTGTTCTTGTTCTTCTTCTTCTTCTTCGTTTAAAAGCTCACGAGTTCATGACGTACAAGCGAGTAACCTTGCACTTTTCCTTTCAAACGTGCCAGTTGTAATTTAATTTTCATGTTTATTTCACTTCATAAAGTATCCCAAAATCCTGCCAGTCTAATAACTTAATAATTGTAGTTTTCATCAGGTTCTGAAATAAATTCTTTAACTGAATTTTAAACATTGTCAGTTTACAAATTCCCATTTCGGCTGAATATTGAATGTTGAATTTAGAATCAACAGTTGAGATTCCCTTCTTCCATGAATATACAATGTTAAAATTAGAATGAACAATTAAGATGCCTATAATGAGTGGACAGACAAGCCTAAAAGTGCTGACACAAAGAAAACATTGGAGGGAGATGGGTTTTAAGGGGTCAAAGCCTTGTTTAAGTTTATAATGATGATAATAATAATAATTAGATACCTTATTTAATGTATCTAATGAGTTGTCTTCGAGCCCTCGCCTCTTTCAAAACATCTGGGTTGCCCTTTATTTTTTTCTTTGTTCAAAGAATTCTAAGAATTCTTCTGTAAAACCAAATTTCTGATGCCTATATATAACGTCACGAACAGCAGATTAATATAATATGTCTGAAATAATATAAAACATATAAATAAATGCTTAAAGGGGATTTGCTATTCATGCGTAGAAGATCGCTTTGTTTTCCTAACAAAATTCTTTGAAGGGATTCCCCCCCCCCCCCCCTTATCTTTCCATTACCTCCTATAAATATATTTATATGCGTGTGTGTGCATGTGTGCGCGCGCGAGTGTGAAGTGTGTGTGTGTGTGTGCGCGTGTGTGTGATGTGTGTGCGTGTGTGTGTGCGCGCGCGTGTGTGTGGCGTGGGTGCGTGCGTGCGTGTGTTCGTCGGTGTGTGTTTGTGTGAAATAAGATGCACGAGGCATTATTCATTAAACTTCACTGAATGACAAACGCCCAGCCGGTCGAATATATAAAGCGTTGCCAGATAAAGACTGCGTTGTCATTTTTGCTCAAATAAAAACTCCCGCCAAAGTTCACAGCCTGTAGAAGACATGCAATGTAATCTATATATCACAACAGCTTTATCCAAACTGGCAGACCTATGCTATTTCTGAATGTCCCTGAAAGCTGCGATAAAACGGCAAAATATTTCGAGAGGAGGGGAGGCGAGCCATTCATATTATATAATAATGTGCTTTCATCATCATCATTTTTATCATATTCATTAATAATATTCTGGAGATGGCGGGGCCCATTTTCAATGTTTGTTTAGCAGTAAGTAGGATAGGATCTGGATCTGCAGAATAATGTGGGATAGGATCTGGATCTGCAGAATAATGTGGGATAGGATCTGGATCTGCAGCGGTAAGTTGGATAGGATCTGGATCTACAACAGTAAGTAGATTAGGATCTGGACCTGTAGCAGTATGTGAGATAGGATCCGGATCTACAGAAGAATGTGGGAAAGGATCTGGATCTACAGCAGTAAGTGGGATAGGATCCGGATCTGTAGCAGTAAGTGGGATATGATCTCGGTCTGCAGCAGTAAGTGGGACAGGATCTGGATCTGCAGCAGTAAGTGTGATAGGATCTGGATCTGCAACAGTAAGTGCGATAGGCTATCACTGAGGCGGTCCTTTCAACTTCTACCTGATAATTTCCCTGCCCTAATGTCCATTTTATTTCTCCAGCGTGTCTCTCTAGGGCAGGGCAGTCGGTATTGGGGTATTCTCGTCAAATGACCAAACCATTTTATCCGATGTTCTTTAATCATCTGTATGACTAGTTTCAGTTCTAGTCTTAAAATCTCTGCAGTTGTAATTGTATCTGTTAATGTTACATTTCTAAGACACCTAATCCGGTTATGATGTTGTTCTCATTAGTTCTAGTAGTGTATCTAGTCGTGTATTTAGTAGGGCTGTACCGAATAGTGATTTTCACTATTTGGCCGAATACGAATAACGGGACTAACTATTCGGCCGAATATGAATACGAATACGAATAGTGTATAGTGTATAAAATATATCTTTAAAAAAACCACAATCATAATGTCAAATGTACGCTGAACTTTTACTTAACATAAAGTAGCACAGAATAGTCATCTTCTTGTTTAGCATTCTGAGCCCTTGAGGTTTACTGCTGCAGATATCCCTCGTCTCCATTAATTTCTCTGGCTGGCTTTATCTTCACAATTTGTGACACCAGTTGTTTGCAGGTCTGGCTGGACATTATCTCTCGAACTTTTTTTTTTTTTTACGCCTCGTGGTCCACGCCCATTCCTCTCTCAGGTGTATACAGTTTTTACTTCTCTGTCATCTGACATTCTTTCAATATGCCCCAACCATTTTAGTCTGTTAGCTCTCGTGATGCCAGTGATCAATGGTGATTTAAACATATTATGTGTTACGTTTTTGCTTCTCACTCTCCATTTGCCGCTGTTAGGATCTTTGATGGGTCCAAAGATTTGTCGTAAGACTGTTTTTGAAAACCTGTAATAAGGTTTCATTTCTTTTATTTCTGCTTCACGTTTCAGAGCCATATAAAACGACTGGTCATATCAACGTTTTATATATTTTGATCTTGGTGTTGCTAGACAGACACTTTGACTTTAGTAGACGTTGAAGGGCATAGTATACTTTATTTCTAGATTGTATTCTAGATTTTATTTCTTTTCTCAGCATGTTGGAGCAGTTGAAGTTTGCACCCAAGCATTTATATGTTTCCGTTCGTTTGATTTTCATATTATCGACGCGGGTGTGGCCGGAGTTTATATTCTTTCCCTGTCTAGTTAGTATTTCTACAGAATAGTAAACATTTAAAAACATTGTATGTTTCGCATCCTTCATTCAGTCTGTGGTAACTAATAACTAGCAATGAAAGAATCCTAAGTATTATAACAAGTAACTAAACTTGGAAATTGTCACCGACAGCTTAGTTAGCTTTCAACAAAACCAATCGTTCCATGTTGTCAGCATTAAGGCCGTGTACGCAGAAGCGAGTGAAAGGTAACTACTATTCGTATTCGGCCCGACCGCAACTATTCGGCCGAATACCGAATAGTCAATAGGTCCACTATTCGGCCCCGAAGCGAATACGAAGCGAATATTCGGTACAGCCCTAGTATTTAGTAGTGCATTTAGTAGTGCCTTTAGTAGTGTATTTATTAGTACATTTAGTAGTACATTTAGTAGTATATTTAGCAGTGCATTTAGTAGTACATTTAGTAGTATATTTAGCAGTGCATTTAGTAGTGCATTTAGAAGTGTATTTAATAGTGCATTTAGTAGTGCATTTAGTAGTGCATTTAGAAGTGCATTTAATAGTGCATTTAGTAGTGCATTTAGTAGTGCATTCAGTAGTACATTCAGTAGTGTATTTAGCAGTGCACTTAGTAGTGCATTTAGAAGTGCATTTAATAGTGCATTTAGTAGTGCATTTAGTAGTGCATTCAGTAGTACATTCAGTAGTGTATTTAGCAGTGCACTTAGTAGTGGATTTAGCAGTGCCTTTAGTAGTGCATCTAGTAGAGCATTTAGTATTTCGAAGTAGGCAGCTGATAAATGCTCTATTCGCACGAACTTTGTGCTATTAATGTCAGACTTGGACAGTCGCAGAAAAATCTAAACGCAAAATCCAAGTTGTGAGATGAGATGTACAAGAAATGCGGCGGAAACAAACAAGAACAGACAGCATCACTGACGAAGAACAAAGAATAATGGTTAAGACACTACCAGTAAACGATTTCATAAAACATCAAAGAATCAAATGGTTTGTCACCTGGTAAGAATCGATTCTATTTTGTATTTCTTTCAGGAACCCTCTTTTCATTCGCATTTCCTTCAGAAGTGTATTTTATTGATTCTTCTAAACATCCACATTTCCAGAGACTCAATTCTACTTTGTAGTTACCTAATTTTTCCAGTTTCAATTCGCTCCCAAAATCCACGGGAATCTCTTCAAATAGAAAGACAACGTGTTACACGCTCAAACATTATTTGCACACTAGAAACACAGCGCGCTGAAATAAAACAGATGCGCAGTAAAACGAATGCAAAGAGAAGATGGCATCACTAACAAGGTAGCTAAGATAGCTATTTGCAGGAACCGATAACAAAGGCGTTGAACGATAACAGAAAGACGGAAGGTGTTATATCAGAAATAATCAGAAAGAAGAGATAAGCCAAGGATTAAAATCTTTGTGACATGGCAACATCTGCATGTTGGCACCAGAAATTTGACAACTGGCAGGCAACAAGTTCAAACTGATGTTTTGCCGTATTCGTGTCAGTTTGTATGTTTCAGCATTCTTTTTTTTTCTTTCACTTCTATTCCCCCTCATGCAGCGGTTCTCAAACTGGTTGCCGCGGCACCCAGGGGTTCCGCGAGTGTATGCTAGGGGTGTCACGGC